TACGACTTTTGATTACTGAGTTATCGCGGATTAAATAAAAGAATTATTTTGACTTTAATTGCTCATAACTCCATTAAAAATTGTCGTATCGTATAATTTAAAAAAGAGATTTTTAAAGCTGAAACTTTACTCTATCAAGATATATTTATATTGTTGGTAAGAAAGTAATTGCGGTTTTGATAGATGTCTTTTAAAAAAACGCGATGACTTTTTATTTAACCTAATATTTCAATTACTGTTTATAATAAAAGATCATAAATGTTTCTTGAAAAGATAAAAACTCATGACTAATTAAAATATAAAAATAAAGCATCGATGTAGCAAGTCCTTAAATGAAAACTGAAAGAAGCAAAGGAATAGTAATCCGTAAATCTAAATGCGATACAGATCAGGTTTAGCGTTTGTATTTAATACACTCTTGCTCTCGCGCTCTCTGCTCGCGCCAGTGTAAAGGGTTGAATTTTTAGTCCTTGAAGGAATCGAGGAATGGTTAGGAAGAAGGGGCATTCTAAGGTGGGAAGCGGAGAGTAATGCATTTTTACAGCGAATTTTATTTTCCAAGATGGTCGGCACGATGCTCCCTACTTCTTCCCTCTCTTCGCTCCTTCCGTACTGGATTCACTGAGCAAAGACGATGCAATAAACCTGTATTGCCTTTCTTACTGTCTGCCTAGCTTACGGTGCGTCCACAACGTTTAAATGCAATTTATTACTTTAACATCGTTTTATGCAATGCTATTCTCTTTGACAATTTTGTCATCGGACATTTTTATATTGTCTTAACGCTTGTCTTGAACTCCTGAAATATTAATACATCTTTTTTACGCTGCAAGAAAGAGACATAGAAAAAAATTGCATGGTAATTTTTTAATAATATAATTTTGCGTATATATTTTATATAATTAACCTTATTAAAAACTTATACTAAATTAATTTAACTAACTGTAGATAAAGCTATCATAGATACAGGATTGTTAAAAAGTCCACTACAATTTCTTGATAATAATTTTAAGCATTTTTATGCTTTATTTATTTAACAGATTTATCGTATTTAAAAATTAATATAACCAGCTAGATAAATCAATACTATAATCTTCGTCGGCTTTGTAACAAGCGTATCGAGGTAAACCACATCGATCATCAACCATGACTTTTCTTTGAGCTACTTACTGAAGCCAGACGGTTAATGAATTTTATGACGCACAATACTTATTCCTTGTAATGTCTCGTTATGAGGTCAGTCAGCAGTTGTATTAACTTAGTCAGGAAGCACAGTGCTTCGTTAAGGATGGCTGTTTGCAGTAACGTTGCACGCATAAGTGTCCACGGATGTGATGCGTTTAGCAGATTGACACGATGGTATGTAGGAGAATAAGCAGTACATGAAAACTAGTCTTAAAAAATTTATCTGCGTGTTATTGGCAAGTGGATTTCAAACAGTAAAACGTTTCTTGAATGGAGATTACAAGTGTGTGCTCGAGTGTATGTGTTGGGAAGAATTTCATTGGAAAATTATGAAGCAATGCGTTCCAACTACTCTTAGTTCAGCCACTCCTTTTCAAGGTGATGGCCATGCGTGAACGGTCGTTGCACGATGACCATGACAGTGACATTACATGATAAAAAGTGAAAGACGATGATATGTATGTATCAATTATAAAATTCTTTCTTTTATCAAAATATAACTTTACTTAAGTAAAGAGTCTGCTACAAAAAAAAAAGATTTAACAAAGATGATTTAACATTAAAATTTTACATTAAACAAAATTTTATGTAAGTCATTGTTAATTGTTGCAAAATACTCTCGAGCAATTATTAGTTAGGGATAATCTTTTATCGCCGTGTAATTTTATTAAAAGAAATACGGGATGGTAAAGAAAAACTTTCTAACATTAGAATGCGGATCGTTGTTCTGATCTCGGATTCTCCGAGGTGTTTGTAAAATCGGTACCTAAGAGGAATTTGAAAGAGATGCGCAGAAAGTCGACGCGCAGCGAGCGCAATTCTCTTTCGAGTTCGAACCGCTCGGTTGGTTGGAGGGAATCATACGGTTGCTTGTGCGAGTCCGAATAACACGTATTTTGTGTAGTCCGACACAGAAGGTTCAGGAGAAGACAGAGGGAAAAAGGTCAGTCAAAAGAAAAAAGATCGTCAGTGTCGATGAGTCCGGGTGGTGGTAAACCGGTCTGAGAATGAAGGCGATTGGCCAGATCATGGCGTACGTGCTATTGGCAACTGCATTTACAAAAAATATGTTTGCAATAAGTGCCACGAACATCAAATTTTCAAGAGACAGCAACAAAATCGCACGGTATAATACAACGAAATTAGAGATGATCTCGAATGCTGTAGCGCCTCTGAATCCTGACACCGATGATCTTTGGAGTATCCTAGTTAACACATTCGAAAGCAAACCAGTTCAAGGTAAGACATATTTTCACGTTTATTAATAAAAAAAAAACGTAAGTTAATTAGAAAAGTTATTTTACGGTTATAGAATCAAGATTTGTGATTAGAAATGTGATTTTTCAATACTAATTTTTTAGAATTATTATATAATTATTTAAAATAATATATCTATATAAAAATTATGGATATATTCATTTACATATAA